CAGTTTTCTGTTCTTTATTTTGTGACAGTAAGACAGGAAACTAGGTCATGGCCAAGCTAGCTAGGGAAGGAGGCATGACCTGTTAATTACAGGCTCCCAGACACAGGTGCAGAACAATTCCCAAAGCCCTGCACGTGGACTCTTGGAAAGAACTGGAGTGGGTTTTTGATAGGATGGCCCTGACCTGACCTCAGCCTGAGGCGTGGAATCCCAGCACCACCTCTCGGGACCTGGATGTAGAAGTTCTCACAGGTTTCCTCAAGATTTGGACAGCACAGAAGAAAGGCAGCCATTGGAGTTGGAGTGGTGAGATCTTAGCTTTCCACAATAGTCCACATTGTTTCCCAGAGGCAGCACGTGCTTTTATCTTCGTTCTTACCCTCTTTTTCTCTTTACTGGGCCCAAGCTCTCTCTGCAGAGCGTTTCTCCTCATCTTCACTTTTACTTTCTTGAATAAACTTTGCCACGGCTTTTTCCCCATTTTGTTCAATTCTTTGTTTTAGATGAGAAGAACCTGGACTCTAACTCTAGGTAAAGAGGCAAGCAATCCAGAACCTGGTAACATTCAGTTGGTGAGCTACTTTTAGAGGCAAGCTACCCAATAACAACAGAGTTTCACTAAAATGCTAAGGCTGGGCTTAAACTTGTGATCCTCCTGCCTCGGCTTCCTGAGTTCTGGGATCACAGCATGTACCAGCACACCAAGGCTTGGACACAAGAAAAACCCGAGTTTTTCTGTGGTTGGTACTGAGGGTTGAGCCCAAGGTCTTCACACTGAGCTGCATTCCTAGCCTTATTTAAACTTTTTGAGACAGGGACTCACTAAGTCACTAAATTGTCTAGGCTGGGCTCAAACTTGGCAATTCTCATGCCTTAGTTTCCTAGGATCCTTGGATTACAGGCATGTGGCACTGTGCCCAACTTTGACTTGGTTTGTAGGAGTTGGTGTGTCTAATGATACAGTCCACTATGTTGACAGATGATTACTACTATTTTCGTTTGAGTCCAGGGTGGACTTGAACTTGCAATCCTTTTGCTTCAGCCTCCTGAGCACTGGGATTACAATGTGTGCCATCATACCCAACTTTACTTTTTTTTTTAAAGACAGGATCTTGCTGTGTAATTCAGGCTGGCCTTGAACTCACTTTGTAGCCCAGACTGGCCTTGAACTTGCAGTGATCCTCCTGTCTCAGCTTCCGGTCCACTGGAATTATAGATGTGTGTCACCATACCCAGATTTAAATATGTTTTTATATATAATTTTTTTTTTTGGTACTGGGGATCAATCTCTGGTCCTTGCCCTTGCACAGCAGGCAGCGAAACCACTGAGCTAAATCCCCATCCCTGTTTTTACATATAAATTTCTTTCAGAAGGGAAAAGAGGAGCTATTTGTGGCTAGCCTGCCACTTACTATTTAAAATTCCTGTGTCCATACTTCAAGATTAGCATGCAGTAGCTGCAGGGACTTACTTCCCTGGGAACTATCACATGATCATTGGCGGCAGATAGTGAGACTCCCAAACTGGCATACACATATTTGAATGAAATCTGTCTTTGCTGAGACTATCTTAGTTTTATTATGAGATGCCCACAGTGAATCCAGATATTGTTATTTCTTTTGATCATTTATCCAACTACAACCAAAGATTAGAGAATTGAGTCAGATTTAAATTTTTTGTTTTGTTCACAGATCACTGCTAAAAACTACTCTTATGTACTACTATAAAGTGTTTGTTTGTTTGTTTTTGGTACTGAGGATCGAACTCTAGACCTTGTGCTTGTGTGGCAGGCACCAGAACCACCGAGCTAAATCCCTGGCTACTACTATAAAGTGGTACAATTACGGCTTAAGAAACACGAAAACTAAATGAGCAACAGAGTGATCCTCTGTCCTGTGCTGAGTGGCACCCAGAGCCCCTAGCCTGCTGGGAAGTGAATGGTCTTCATCCTTCCAAGTCTTACTCCCAGCCAGCCTCCTGTCTTAAGGTAGAAAAACTGGAATTGCTCACCAAGTATTCCTGTTGGTTATGAGGAAACCATGGGACCTGGAAAACTGTTTCTCTACTCTCCATGGGTTCTGTGACCAGATCTGTCAAAGGACATGATGATGATTATGGTGATGTTAGTGGGCTGGACTGGGAGTGGTGATGCATTCCTGTAATTCCAGCATCTGGAGGCTGAGGCAGGAGGATTACCTTGACTTTGAGGCCAGCCCCTGAACTATGTAGTGAGATCCTATTTAAAAAAAAAAAAAAATCAGTGGGCTTTATTTGCCACTGTGGAATTTGGCAGCACCTCATTTCATAAAATAGAATAAGTGTGGTGGTGGGTTGAGCAGAAGAGGTTGGTTTTAGAGATGGAGAAGGACTGAAGAAAGCAGGAACAAAAAATTCTTTGGGCAGTTCAAATTTACTTTCTTTGTAAGACAGAGCAACAGGAAAAAAAAAAAGATTGGTCAACATCAGTTTTTGTTTTTGATTTTGTTTTTTTGAGGCTGGCCTTGAATCCTGACACTCCCAGAGTGCTGGGATTTTGTTGGTTTAGGTTCCTTTTATTGTGAAAGGACTAAGGCAGAAGGAACTTCAGTATCATGCAAATTGAAACTGGCCTGCTAGGGGAATCCTGACTTCTCAGAAGGCCCGGAAATGATTTAGTTTCAGTTTGGTTTTTAGTAAGAGTGGCTCCATTTTGACTTTTAGTCTGGTGTGTTGGAGCCCAGGCCAAGAGTCTAGTCTAAAACAGTGGCCTCCTATAATTTTCATTCAATGAGTCCATGAAATAAACTGACAGCAGGTAGATAAGCAAGAGGAAAGGTACCTAAAACGTACTGCATTTGTGGGGCCAAGTGAAAGGCAAGTGAGCACTGAGATGCACACAGGAGGCTGGTGGCAAGGGCAGTAAAAAGAATTTTATCAATTAACAAGGAATGCAAAGGCGCCTTTATTTAGATCAAGGTGTAATGGTGTAATCTGGGTTTGTGTCTTACAAAGTCAAAAAGTGAAACGGAGGACAAAGGAAGTAGACAGGAGGAATGGTTATGAAAAAGCGAGAAATAGCCCCAAATAGTCAGGAGGGGACCCAAAAGTGGGTTGCCAGGGGGACTCTGCCCAGCAGCCTTTTTTGTTTTTTGAGACAAGGTCTCACTATGTAGTTCAGGCTGGCCTTGAACTTACTATGTAGCCCAGGCTGTCCTTGAACTCAGGGTGATCCTCCGGCCTGAACTCCAGAGTGCTGGGATTGCAGACATGCACCACCACACCCAGCCCCTACAGGTTTTTAGATCAAAAAATCCCCAGAGCTCAGAGTACTCTGAGTCAAACTAAGGTCAATTCATAGGACTAAAACATGATGTAGCAAGTGCATGTCTGCAGATGCCTGTTGGCCTCTATCCTATGCAAGTGGTTCATTAAAAGAACAAAGTGAGAAGGAAGAAAGTATTTTTCAGATAGGTAGGAGCAGAAATTGACCTACATCCCTAGATTTAATTATCTGGTTCTTGTTAACTATTAGCTTATCTTGCTTATCTGACCAAGACCTGGTCGTCTTGATTCTATCTTGGGCCCAGGGCCCCTCTAGCTGGCTGCTGTGTTCTACTTCACCCATCTGTCTATAATAAAGGTGTGCTGCCAAAGGCTGTCGAGTTTCTCAGAGAGGAATCCTGCAGAGTCAGGATGAAACTGGGATTTTAGGGGTTTGAGGCTATGGAGAAAAGGTCTAGGCAGCAAATATGATTATCTAAATATTGTCTTTTTCCTGGATCATTTAGCACCTTGTAGATATAGGAGCACCTGTATTATGTTTAAAATGATGTGTTCAAGGTTGCAGTCTTGACAGGCCCATTTTCCTGTGGCTGAGGAAGGCCACTGTTAGGTTAGATAAGCCAGTGATAAGGAGGCCTAAGAAATCTTTTATGGGTCTGGCTGGTTCTGAGCGAGGAATGTTCCATCAATAGTTGGCGTTTACCATCGTGGCCCTCTCAGGCCATGAGTTTGGCTGGTAAGACTTTTTTTTTTGGTACCAGGGATCGAACTTCGGACCTTGCACTTGCGAGGCAGGCGCCAGAACCACTGAGGTAAATCCCCAGCCTATGACTTTTTTTTTTTTGAGACACGGTCTCGCTACTATGTAGGCTAGGCTGGCTTCGAACTCACTGCAGATCCTCCTGCCTCAGCCTCCAGAGTGCTGGGATTACAGGCATGTACAACCATGTCAGGTTACAGTGTTAATCCTTTTCCTCTTTTTTTTTGGTACCGGGGATTGAACTCGGGTCCTTGCGCTTGCAAGGCAGGCGGCGGAACCACTGAGCTAAATCCCCGGCCCTGTTAATCCTTTTCCTTGCCAACCTCCTTATGTGGGAGAGGGTTGGGGCATGTGGCAATTTAGGGGAGAGTAAAGGCTGTGTCTCCAGGATTGCACTTTAGGGGACAGTAAAGGTTTGTGTCCCCGGGATGGTAGGCTTGGGTCCTCAGGTGTCTGCCTGTGACAGTCGCTGGCCTCCTCTCCAAAACATGAGGGTTCAATTTTTCCCTAGTCGACAAGATCTGGGCTTCAGGGTGATGTGTCCTGCCTAAAGACTGAGGCCTGCCCTGCCGCACTTGGCCATCCTTGGCCATCCGGGGCCTCCGGGTGACAGGGATCAGCCCACGGGCGTGGGTGGGCGCTGGCCTGACCCCAGGCAGACTGGGCTGTGAGACGCCCCACACACGATCATGAGGCCGAGGCAGCGAGGAGGGGGCGGTGACAGCTAGGGGCAGGTCGGTAGAGTGGGGGCGCAGAGCCCCGGGCGACAGGAGCACTAGGACCCACACCTGGCAGGGAGCACGGTGGGACGCAGCGACCAAGCGCGTCCTTAGGGTTCCAGGCCGTTGGGCCCATCGAAGAGCCCGCCTTCTCCCGGGGAAGGCCCCGCCCCCGATCCGTGCAGAACCTTCGCGAAGGCCGGGGCGGGGCGAGAACGAGTCGGACCTGCGGCGCGGGCGGTGGCGTTTGCGCATGCACGGCGTCAGGGCCGGGCGGAAGTTGACGTCTCCGCGCCGCCGCCGCGTGACGCACTTCCTGTTTGTTGTTGGAGAAAGGAGAGAAAGGAAAGCGCGAGGAACCGCCGCCACCACTACCAGGTCAACGTGCCGGAGCCGCGAGGGGACGGGCCACACACCTCTCTTCTTTGCGCCGCCGGTCGTCTGCGTCCTCGGTGAGAAAGGGGCCGCCGTGGGCCGAGGTCGGGGCGAATGGCCCGCGCGGCCGGGCGGCGGACCTGACCCGCCGCCCTGCTGGCAGCGTGTCGGTTGACCGGGTCGCCACGGGCCCTGGAAGGCTGTGGAGAAGGGCGCGTTGAGCGAGCGGCCGGGCTGGGGACGCGGGCAGGGGCTGGCGGGAGGTCGGCCGGAGTCTGGTCTGGGTGTGGATGTGGCTGTGGCTGTCACCCAGGCCAGGGTCGGGGTGGGGGTCGAGGTTCGAGGTTCAGGATGGCGGGCGCGGCCTGCCCTTCCCGGTTCGGAGTCCGCGGGTGCGGGCGGTTTCTGGAACTCTTTGGGACTCTAGGAAGTTTGGGAGCTGTCGGCTCTGCGCGTACTTAAAAGTCTTTAAAATGTGGCCTCGCTTTAGTTTATATAACTGAAGTTTACGTAACTGAAGTTTATATTAGCGTTTATCCACCTAAGGGAAGAAGTCGGCGTGAACATGGAGAGTGTGAGCTGCAAGCCTTACACTGTCCAGAGGAAGGTTTCAGAGATGGCGGTTTTCGTTGGAGAAAACCAACCAGCTTTGTCAGCGCAGGAGAGGAAGGGCACGGAAGAGGATGGGCCACTTCCCAAGGCGGGCTTCGGGCCGCGGAAGAGGGCAGCGCAGGCCCAGTGCCAGTGGACTTGCAGTAGGATTTTATGGCTAGCTTTTTTTCCCCCGCCCCCAGTACTGGAGATTGAACTCAGGACCTTGCACACGCTACGCCAGTGCTCTCCCACCGAGCTACTACCCAGCCCTGTGGCTGTATTTAAGCAATTGATTGATTTCGTTGCAAAGTTAAGAAAGAAAATAAGCCTAAACCTTTGAATTTGATCGCTGCTTGTTTTGAGGTTTTTCCTAATAACCTTACCTGCCAGAATGATCCTGTCTGAAAGGAATTATGTTCATTTCCCTTCTTTTTGGAACCTTTGTTTGCCCCAGGCTGTGTTTTTCCACCATCGGGAGCCTTGATCCTCCCCAAGGCTTTTGGGCTGTGTCCTGTAGTAAAATTTTTTGGATTATGCAGAATATGAAATTTAGGGCCTTAGTTGCCTTTGTAGTGGTTTGCCCATGTGGATGACTTAGCAAGAAGTGTAACAAGAGGTTTGAGAAGTTCGTTTTTGAGTTGATTTTGTGTCACTGTGGAAGAAGAGGAAATTGGGAATTTCGAGCACTGAGAGGTTACATAGAATCTGACATGAGTTCAGCACTCTCTTCAAAAACAGAATTTTTTTTTTTGGTACTGGGAATTGAACCCAAGGCCTCACACATGCTATGCAAGCTCTCTACCACTTAGTTACATCCTAAGCCCTAAGACATCAGTGTTTCAAATTTTATTTTCCTCTTTATATCACAGTGTTAGATATGGGAGGTGTTTTTTGGCTGCAGGTAAACAACTAGAATTCTGGGTGGGGAGTATTGTTTCATCCTTGGAAAGACTGAATTATAAATGTGGGATCACTATATACGTGGGTACCTGCACCTAAGTGGCATACAGTAGCTTTCCTTTGTAAGCATTCCCATTATTTTAAATGGTACAACCGTTTTTCCTTGTGTTGACTCCTTTGGACAGTTTGAAGCAAATACTTGACTGTACTCATAATCTTTGTTGACAGTTTTTAACCTAGGAAACTTGAAAACCAGGATTGGGGCCCGATGATCCATTTTCATCTTTCCAGGGTTTTTTTTTTTGATAGGATCTTGGTATGTAGTCCAGGCTGGCCTTAAACTTGCTATGTAACCGAAGGTGACCACAAACTTGTGGCAATCCACCTGCCTCAGTCTTCTGAGTGCTAGGATTACAGGCCTGTGGCATCACACCCGGGATCCACAGTTTTAAAGAGGGTTTGGAGTACTTCTTACCAGCTGCTGTCTGCTGGAGTATAATTAGCTTGACAGTGCATGTGAACTCTTACCTGTTGGTCTGCTAGGCTGTCTTCTGCATTGGCTTATTGTTTAAATACTTGAAAATAATTTTGGATGCCCATTGATATATAATTAGCTTTCTTGCTTGATCTTATAACAGGATTCATTTTAAACTGCTTTTCCGCTTCATTAGGAATGATGGCCGTGTTCAGTTTCATCCAGGACACCATCTAGTGGTGAAGGAGGCTTGTAGCAGCAGCAGGTTCATTAGTGAGTAGGATGGCATCAGAGTGGGAAGACTGAACAAATGCTCTAGTTCTTTTCTGATGGGTAGAATTTGAGAGCTTAACCTTAAGAAAAAGGTTAATGAGAAGAGAAGCAAAGTTGATGAAAAGAAGACTGTAAAGTAGAAATGGAAAGATAAATCATAACCTGGAGAAAAAGACTTACTAGATATGTCAGCCAGCAGAAATTTTATTTATTTCTATACTAGGGATTGAGCCCAGGGCTTTTGCACTGAGTTACACCCTAGTCAGTTTTTATTTTGAAAGAGTCTTGCTAAGTTGTTCAGGCTGGGCTTGAACTTGGAATCATCCTCCCAGAGTGCTGGGGTTACAGGCCTATGCCACAATGACCAGTTCAAAAAGTTTTCTGAGATGGGAAGTTTGAGTTCTGCAAGACAGTAAAAGCATTCACATTTCTAAGGGTTGCAGTATGTATCAAAGAGGAGAAAGTTTTAGTTTGTTTATATTCCTCATAATTATTTCAGAAGCTATACTGTATAAAGCTATACTGTTAAAATTGTTACCATATCCAAAATTTATAAAGGCCTTCTAGCCATTCTAAATGAAGGGGCCATTGCTTCTGGCTAGGAGACTGTTGAACTATTTGTGAATTAAAATACGCTAGGCATTTTAGGAATCTTAAGTGCAGTTGCAAAAATCACTTGTTTTTGGAAGGGTGATTTCATGAAACATGTGGTTTTTGTGCTCCTTGATTTTTTTCTTTTCTTTTTCTTAGCAGTACCAGCTATCAAACTCAGGACTTGTGCTTATGAGGCAGGTGTGGTGCCACTGAACTAAATCCCTGGCCTGGGTCCCCTTGATACTCTTCCTACAAAAGGCATGTCAACACTTTTCTACTCCCTTCTCTCACCTTGAGAGCATATTCCTCCAGGGTGGGCTTTGCATTTGAGATTTTTCCCTTGTGCTGGTAGCAATGTCTGAAGTGCTCACAAAGTACTGAGCAAGTGAATCAGCTGTCTTGGTTTGTCAGTATCCTGATTATCTTTCTCTGAGTCAGAGTTTAAGAAACTTGAAAAAAATACATAGCATACAATTTTAGTTCCTTAATACTAGAGACTGAGTTCTTATTCTGTGGATTATTTTCCTCCTATGAAAGGGAGTCAGACCATTAAGTCTCTAACAGATGATGACTGCCCTTTTAAAGTATGGCCTCTGATCTTGAGTAATAGAGGATATGACTTCATGGGTTTCAGTAATATCTTAGGACATAGTAGATAAAAAGTATTTGGCCAGGGGTTTTTGTCTCAGTGGTTCCCTGCCCTGCCTTGCAAGCACAAGGTCCTGAGTTCGATCCCTGGTACCAAAAAACAAACAGAAAAGTATTAGTAGATATATGTGATAAGGAATGTTAGTTTACTTCTGTGTTGGCTTAGTTTTAATTTTTTTCCCTTTTTTTCTTTCCCTGCTTAACTGTAAGGAATTCATGAGATGATGAAATGAGGAAACTTCTAGGTTTAGTAATTTTTCATGTTAAACTTCTTGTCTGCTTCCATTTTATTAAGCAAATAGTACTGTACTGAGCCTGGTGCCACAACATGAGTTGAACTCCCTGCTTCATACAAAAAATATTTAAAGCTGGTGTGGAGGTACATGGCTGTAATCCTAGCCCTTGGGAGGCTGGGGAGGAGGATCAGAAGTTTGAGTTCCACCTGGGCAATTCAGCAAGACCCTGTCTCAAAATGAAAAAGGGCTAGGGGTTAGCTTAGTTCAAAGGCCCTGTGTTCAGTCCCCAGTAACCCCCTCCCTCCACCCCCTTTCTAGGCTAATAGAAATACATTTTTTTTTTTTTGGAACTTGGGTCCTTGCGGTTGCGCAGCAGGCTGTGAAACCACTGAGCTAAATCCTCAGCCCAAATACATATTTTTTTTTGTGGTGATAGTTTTGTTTTGTTTTTTTTTTGTACCAGGGATCAAACTCAGGACCTTGCACCTTTGAGGCAGGCATGGTGCCACTGAGCTAAATCCCTGGCCCTGAGGTGATAGGTTTTGAACCCAGGGCATCACTCATGGAGCCTTCTCATACATACTAAGCAAGTGCTATGCCACTGAGCTATATGTCCAGCTCCAAGAAAAAGTATTTTAACTTGCTGTTTTTAGGATAAAAGTAGTAGAATGCCTTCAAGAACATGACTTCTTGAATTGTGTTACTTGAAACAGTATAGAGTGAGTGGTGTTTTATGGATGGATAATGACAGATTTTCTGGAAGAGGGAATTTTTCCCCCTTCAGCTTCATTTTCAGCATTGAGTCTCCTGCATTGGAACAACGCAGCCTGTTTTTGGTGGTGGCCTGCAAGACTTGTTTTTGTACCACCATCAGTATCTTTAGAATCCAGAGAGAGATACTTGAAAAAGCTTCATAAATGGGAAGAAGTCACTTCCTGTGCCTTTAGTAGGTAGGTGGTTGACTTCTACTACAAAGAGTAGAAAAAACCACAGTCCCCATCTAGTGGCCCTTGACTCATCTAATGATCTGTAAATACCAGGAAAGATGATTGATGTATTGGTGATAATCCTCTGGGCACATATATTCTCTTAGGTTTCATCAAGAACATGGGGCAAGTAACGATTTTTAGACGTTTCCTTTTAGAAAATCATTAAAATTGACAGTTTGTAACTTCAGGGGCCTGCATGAGTTGTGCAAAAAACCTTTTTAGAAAGCTGACTTATGATGGAATGCCTCAAGTAGTTAAAACTTTAACATGGTGATTAATTTAGACTCAAGCATATATAACAGGCCAGACTTGATAGTGCATGCAGTAGTTCTGGTTGCTCTGGAAGCTAAGGTATAAGGATTGCAAGT